CTCACACGAGTCTGCCTCTGAAAGCAGAATGGTGTGTGTGTGTGTGTGTGTAGGAGCAGACAGTGTGAGGTTCCCTCTGCTGCCACTGCCTTCCCAACACACCAAGAAAGCCTGAGTGACATCAGACGCCTCAGGAACGCCATAGTAGTCAAAAAGAGAAAGGGGACAAAAAAGTAAAAGAAGTCCCTATGGAAGGAGAGATGCGGCTCAACAAGACTGACTGGTTTGCTGTGATGAGAACAAGTTTGCTTGATCGAGGTGAGGAACCAACTCTGGTAAAACCTGAACGCGTGCAGCATGTTGTTGACTAGCACCAGTGTTTTTCCACTTCCTTCATTCATTCATTTATTCATTCTCCAAGTCCCTATGGTTAATTTTAGCATTTAATTCTACACTGTTCCAACCAGAGTTATTTTACTTTTCTTTAGTCATTTCACACCTCTTTTTAGTGATCTGACGTAGTTAGTTATTCCGCATCTTATTGTGTGTCTCTCTGTGATTATTTTGCGTAATTTGAGTGACTTTCAAACAACAAATGCCAGAGGCCTGCCTCTACCTCGTAGGCTTGTTCATTCATCATACTAATAAACCAACTATCATCTTTTGACTCTGGTCAGTGGTAGACACCAACCAGGTGGCCAACCAGAGTCCAGGGTCCATGCCTCCCCTGGCCACCCCTGTGGCCTTGTCCCTGTGTCCGACAACATTTCTACATTTCTGCCTGGAAACGCTTCGAAAGTAAAACCACATGGTCTAGAGACAAGCCAAATAACTCTTTATTTTGATTTAATAACATTATGTGTAATGATTTTTATGTTACCTTTTTGTTATAGTTGCAATACAAGGACATTCCCATTTACCAGAGACAGTTCAATGTCACTTGTATAAATAGCACTGACTTAATGGCAGGTAATATATTCAGCCTAGCTCTGCTGGAAGCTCTATTTAAAATGAACATGCGAGACAAATTGAGACAGCAAATAACACATACAAACTACAGCTGAATGTCTTCAATGCCAAAGTTCAAATTCCTCTGTTGAAGAAGTCTGATCACACTTATCAACTTAGCCCATGAGGTAAGCAATAAGTCAGCCACAGGCAGATTACCATCAGCTCACACACCCTGACAGAAGAGGAAGTTAGTTTTACATTCTCAAATAGCTGGCTGCTGTGGTCACTGACCAGTCAAGTAATAAGACTTTATTGGGGATGTCATGCTTCACAGTGGTGCAATATAGCGCAATTTGACTGACGTCTAATGGAGATCATTTCAGTGGTCATTTCAGTGGTCATAGATTCATTTTATTTCACAACATTAGCATGTGGCTACTTTCTGTAGAGCCTTATTGTACACTGTAACTGAGAGGTTTGGGACAGACTGAAAAACAAAACTGAAAAATCTTTTCATTGGACAGCGACAAATAAACAGTATATTTGGTCATCTTTCCTCATGTCTGTGTGTATGTTTCCAACTGCAGTGGTTCCAAACCTTTTAGCCTGATATACCACCACAGCCCCGTCAGAGGAGTACGGGTACCCACTCAGTGACACCACCCATTGGGTTCCAAATATGCTTATTTGAACAGATCAGATCATAGACTGGATGATACTTAATATATATGAATATTTCTCTCATACCAGACCTTGTAATCCTAGATTTGTCAATGCTTATGCTTGGTCCTTATTTTATTTTTTGCTAATTTGCATTACATTGCCACTTGGAGTAGCAAAGCATTTCAAGGTTTATCTACTAGTTTTAGCTGTGTGTGTTTTTTTTTTTACATTGGTTATTGCCACAACAAACTAAAGACCGGCATCACACCAATCTGTAATCCTATTCTGTGAGTTTATTAAATATATCCACAGAAATATGTGGACGTTCCAATCATTGAACCCAGGTTCAACAGAATTTGCAAACACTGTTTCATGTTCATCCAACAGAAAGCAAATAGGATTGGACCCAGACTTGGCTGAATGACGGCGGCTGAGGAGGAGAGGTGGGTGGAAAGGAACAGGCGGCGCTCACACAATGAAGCCGTGAGGAAATGAACAGAGAGGAAAGGGAGAAAGAATGGCCACTGGCAAGTTTGCAGTGGCTGGTGCGCAGGTTGAGTCAAGTTCACTGGGACATGATGACTAGTGATTCTGGCTCAGAATGAGCTGGCCTGTGCAACTTTGACAAAGGGCAACACTGGGACTCCACAAGCACGAACGCAGACAGGATGAAGAAAGAGATTTATTTCCTAATCAACAGAAAAGCATGTAGGCTATGATTTAGTGCGTGCATGTACATATTGACATTAGCGTAGTTATGGTATAAACAAACACCCTCTACTGTACTTCGGTCCCTCTTGTTAGCTCATGCTGCCACTCCACAGGATTTACTGAAGCCAGAGGGCAAACAAGGCAGCAGTGTGAGAATGAATGGAGACACAGAGGCCTTATCTAGATGCTGGGATGCCGAGGCAGGGGTTACACCTTTACATTGGGGGTCACAGGCCAATCTACCACGCCAATATGCTTAGAGAAACACTCCCAATTCAACCAGGTTACAGCCTGAGGAAGAATGTGACTTTTAATTCAAACTGAACATGTTGATCATGAGGAAAATGTAAAAAATGTAGGACAAAACACTGTCTGTCAATAAGGCTGTGTCTGACCCACCATGACATTCAGCTGTAGTTAAAAGGAGTTTGCTAGTAACACCTATGAAATCCACATCGACCGAGTCCAGAGTCACAAGACTGACCCCATGTATGTCCCTCTGCAGCTCACACTCACACAGCTCTGCCCTCACACACACTCACAACTAGTGCTAATGCTGGTACTTCTGTTGCTGGCAGGTCGTGTCTGCCCAGGAGTGGGATGGGTGACATAATTAGTTTGGATCATAGTCTCTCTAGTAAAATACTGTATATGACAGGATAAACAGTATGCAATAACCCCAGTGTGTTATCAATAGAAAGTAGTAATGACTTACTGCAGCAGTCATCAGACACGTCATAATACGTGTCTATTTTTATGATATTTAGAGTATTGAGGTTTATCTTTATATTTATATAATATAAATCTCAGTAAATACCAACAGCAGAAGTTAACTGAACTGATATAACAGCCGAACATTGGTATTGGATGATATTTGCGTTGTTTACTGTCATCGGCATATCGCTAAATAAGATGGCATTCACAGATATCAGTGGTTGATGTTTGCACTGGATAAATGTTTTGTTGGTTGTCTCCAACCTCCATATTGGAGAAATAATCAGCTCCATTTTCCAGCACTGGCACATATTGGACACAAATACCGATGTGCTCCACGCAGCAGCATGGACAGTGAGCTCTGCGTCTCACAGCGTGGATGAGAAGAGAAATCGATTGAGGTACAGGTTATCTGTTTCCCTGGCACAAAAGCAGACAAACTGTTACTTTAAACATAATATTGGCTTAGAATTACCCAAACGGTCCATCCATAGCAATGACCTTCAAAGTTTGTTCTCGACCTTGCAACAGCAGGTTTGACGAAGGTCACAACTACTGCACACATGCTGCTGCACCTGAAGACAAGTCTGGGCCGCGCTCAAGAGCACTTCAGCTGCTGAAACCAAGTTCTGTTGCCAGCTGTTCTGTGTTCAAGTGCTGGGATGATCAGCAGTAAAAGATTGGGCAACATGTCGATGAATCATTGAAGTCTTTCTTGGTTCCCACGTTGCAAATGGAGGCCTTGCTGCCTAATGTGGGGTTCTGGATGGTTGGTTAGTCATAACAAGCAATTTAAAGATGCCGTCCTGGGCTTTGGGAAATTGCGCTTTATAAACTTCTAAAAGACCTTTTTCACAGCAGCCATTCTGACATGAAATAGTAGAGTAATCACAGTAAGCTAACATGCACAATAGCAGCACCCTGACTCTGTTTGACCTGAAGTAAACCTTAATTAGTACCACTGGTAACATGTGTTTGCCCTACTATATCATGTCAAAATGGCTGCTGTGAAAAAGGTCTCTTGATTAATATATAATAGGAATCAGCACTACTTGCAGCCCTGCTTTACTCCCCCTCTGCAAACTGTTTTGTAGCAGAGATCCGACATATGTTTCAGCCCGTTCCTCTGTGGATGCTGAGCATCTCTAGACCCATTTGTTTCTCAGTCACAAACCTGACCTATTACAGCTCGCTGCCAGCTGAGCTCTGCTGCCAAACTGTGGGGTAAATAAAGCCTGTGTGGAGTACAGCTCAGTAGTCCTCGCCACCATTCTTGCACAGCAGCACCACAGCTCCCTAACCCAATCTCCAAAATAAGCTGCATTGCTCCAGATTGAAACTAGAACAGCCTCTCTTTGTGTGTCTCTTTCCCACATGAGGGCCTCCTCTCTCGGGGCTCCTGTGTCTGTCACTTTCACTAACACAGGTTAAGTTTAGTGTTTGACCGAGGACTTTGTTTTAGGGTCCCCAAATACGAACATTTAACCCACATGCAGTATTGCTCCAGGTTTGTTGCCTTAGTGGCAACACTGACACAACCAGGCCTCTGTAACACAATACATCCCCACCACAGAGGAACAATGCAGCGCTCAGAGAGAAGCTGTAGCCTAAACATCAACTCGTGTGTGAGGACACTGTTAATGCAAGGGGGACAGCATCAGAAGGTCACAAGGTCAAATTTCAATCCTGTGCTCATTCTTGCCTCTACTCCAAAACTACTGCCCACACTGCTGCACCTGCAGTCTACTCCAAAGAGCACTTCAGCTGCAATCCTGACTCCACCTTACAGTCAGCAGCATCATGGGAGTCAGCCAGGAGGGCAGCTTCATCAGTAAGCTGAGGAGACTGATGCTGCTCAGCCACACCTCACTGGACCTCAGGTCTGCTCCACAATAAACCCACAGGGTTGACCCACCAAGGTGTCAGTGGCCTGTCTGCCAGCTCCCCCCTCCTCCCCACCACACCAGGGCCGCAGCATCCATCCCGCCCAGCAGCAGCAGCAGCAGCAGCGGAGGACTCACCCAGTGTTTTGACCGCGATCTGCCGCGTCAGAGGCGGCGGCAGGTTGATGCAGACCAGATCCACATCCTGATGCAGCAGCACGTCGTCGATCCGGTTGGTGTAAAACGGTACGTTCATCTCCTTGGCCAGCTCCTCCGCCTCCTCCTGCGTCCGGCCCCACAGCGCTTTGACGGCGAAGCCCTCATTCTTCAGCAGCGGGATGATCACCCTGGCGGTCAGGCTGGTGCCGAACACCCCGACCCCTGGAAGCATGGCTCGGGTTTGTTTGTCTGATCTGCGGTTCTCTCTGTTTTCAGTCTCTTTTTACAGCTCCGGATGAAGCCAGACCGGCTGCTGCTGCAGCGGCGGCTGAACGGGAGGGAAGCGGCGGCTGGGACC